GAGGAGGGGGAGCAAGGATTTCCTACAAATCCCCTGGATCCATCAGGGATGGGGACACGGTGCAGGCAGCTGGGCCTAATGGTGGTGCACAGCTGGGACACGGGGCACAGACTGCTCAGGGGGAAGGAGATTCCCAGAGCCAGAATCTGGAATAGAGCTTTGGGAACAGCTTGTTGTTATAGCATCGTGCTGTCCTCCTCTCCTGCTTCTGGCTTCTCCTCAAGGAATGGTTTGTTCCTCCACAGCTTGGGATAGCAGTGCCCTGATGTTTTCTTTTTCTCTCCATATTCTGGTTGATTTTTCCATTTCCTGGGGGATTTTTCCTTTGGGAATTGTGCCGTGGCTTTGGCTGTGGTGTCACCCAGAGCAGGAGCTCTGTAGGTGGACTGAACGTTCTCCACAACTGCTTGGGCTGGCAGGCTCAGACTTCCCCATCCTTCCTTTCCAGGTGCTCTTGGATGCATTTTCCCACCACATCCAGGTAAAGAATGGAGCAAAGCTCCACAGAGCCAAGTGTCATTTGATTTGAGGTGACAAAACTATGGAAATGGAGGAGCCATCCCTAAATTTCCACGCCCAGCTGTTGTGACCACATGGGATGTGCGGAGTTCCTAAAAGCCCAAACTCTGGAATTAACCAGGATCCATTCCAAATTCCCACTTTGGCCAGACAACACCAGCGTTTGGTGCCTTCCTGCACTAATGGCTTCATAATTCCTTTTTTTAAGGCAATTAAACCAATTAATGCCGCTCTCGCTCTGATTCATGACATGAAATTAGAAGTTTCGGTGCAATTAGTGAATTCAGACCTCGGGAAATTTTGCCTTAAAAATCTGGCAGGATCGGGATGGCAAAGGGTGACCGGGAATGTGAGGCAACTGTGCCCCCTGCAGACAGCCGGAATCCCTGGAAAAAATCCCTGGAAAAAATCCCTGGAAAAAATCCTTGGAAAACGGGAGGGGAAGGGAAAAGCCAGGCAGGAGATCCACTCACCAGATCCCCACAGCCCATCCCTCTGAACGCCTTGAGCTCAAAGGTTTCCTGAAATTCCATGAAACCTTGCTGATTTCATGGAATTTCAGAATCAAAAGACTGGGCAAAGAAGCTTTGATAACCGCGGGCCATCACTGCTGATTTAAAAACCAATGTTTTGATGTACAAAATGCTCAAATAATATGAACTGTTATCATGAGAAAAATGAAACGCTGAATTTTTGAAGGAAGATCAGTGTGCTCTTCAAATTTGAATTAATAATAAAAATTTCCAATTTTTCAAATGTATCATTCAACTTCTTTTAATTTCAGTATCAGAATTAAAATTCTGTATAAAAGATACTAGAAAAGACTGTTTTCACACATGCAAGTGAAACTGTGGTATCTCTGAGTCTACACTTTGGTGTTGCAGCTGAGGAAAGGAATGTGACCCTGAAATGGGAGGTGAGTGAGCAGGGAAATGTCCCTGACTCATACAGGAAGTTTTAGGAATGCTACAACGATTTGTGTTATTCCTCACAGGAACAGGGACCTGGAGCTCCTGATGATCCCTCAGCAGGTATGGGGACAGCTGCTGCTCAGGTGTGCCCAGAACGGGGATTTTGGGGGGCACACATCCCAAAATCTGTGCATCCCTGCCTTCCAGAGGCACCTTCCCTATGGAATGTCCCTGTTTGCCACCACCCCACCACAGCCCCTGATCCCTCATCTCCTCAGCCAGTTATTAATTGGTGTCCTCTCAGTCAGTTATTAATTAGCATCCTCTCTCCTGCTGGTTAATGATTCTCTGTTCCTCATGCTAATTAATCCTTTCCCTTCCCCTGTTTTGGGTCAGGCCAGTTTCCCAGGGTGGGATCATCCCCCCTGCCAGAATTCCCTTTTATCCAGCCACAGCTGATTTCTGATTTATGCACAGCTCCTGAATTGGGGGTTGTGGGATCTTCCTTGCCCTGGGGTTCTGCCAGGNAGGAATTCCAGGCAGGCCATGAACTGATCTTGGTGTGCCCCCACTCCAAACAAATCATCTTCTTTTACCAGCTCAGCTCCAGTTTGGGAATAGAAACTGTCCCCATGGATAATTCCTTTTTGTGGGGAAGCTGGTTCAGGGAGACAGATCAGGGGTTTGTGAGCCAGGGGACAAAGCTGTCCTGGCTGAGGAAGGAACTGCAGAGGCCAGAGAAGGTGGATGGCAGGGAAAGATTCCTTGGAGGAGTTCTGGTAGGAAAAGGTTCCTTGGAGGATTTCTTGTAGGGGAGGATTTCTTGGAGGAATTCTTGTAGGAAAAGATTTCTTGGAGGAATTCTTGGAGGGAAAGATCTCTTGGAGGAGTTCTTGTAGGGAAAGATTTCTTGGAGGAATTCTTGGAGGAGTTCTTGTAGGGAAAGATTTCTTGGAGTTCTTGGGAAGATTTCTCCTAGGGAAAGATTTCTTGGAGGAATTCTTGTAGGAAAAGATTCCTTGGAGGATTTCTTGTAGGGAAAGATTTCTTGGAGGAATTCTTGTAGGGAAAGATCTCTTGGAGGAATTCTTGGAAAATTTCTTCTAGGGAGAGATTTCTTGGAGGAATTTTTGTAGAGAAAGATCTCTTGGAGGATTTCTTGTAGGGAAAGATTTCTTGGAGGAATTCTTGTAGGAAACGATTTCTTGGAGGAGTTCTTGTAGGAAAATATTTCTTGGAGGAATTCTTGTAGAAAAAGATTTCTTGGAGGATTTCTTGTAGGGAAGGTGTTCTTGGAGGGAAAGATTTCTTGGAGGAATTCTTGGAAGATTTCTCGTAGGGAAAGATTTCTTGGAGGAATTCTTGTAGGGATGGTGTTCTTGTAGGGAAAGATTTCTTGGAGGAGTTCTTGGAAGATTTCTTCTAGGGAGAAATTTCTTGGAGGAATTTTTGTAGGAAAAGATTTCTTGGAGGAATTCTTAGAGGGAAAGATTTCTTGGAGGAGTTCTTGTAGGGAAAGATTTCTTGGAGGAGTTCTTGGAAGATTTCTTCTAGGGAAAGATTTCTTGGAGGAATTTTTGTAGGAAAAGATCTCTTGGAGGAGTTCTTAGAGGGAAAGATTTCTTGGAGGAGTTCTTGTAGGAAAATATTTCTTGGAGGAATTCTTGTAGGGAAGGTGTTCTTGTAGGGAAAGATTTCTTGGAGGATTTCATGGAGGAATTTTTGTAGGGAAAGATTTCTTGGAGGATTTCTTGTAGGAAAATATTTCTTGGAGGATTTCTTGTAGGGAAAGATTTCTTGGAGGGGTTCTTGGAAGATTTCTCCTAGGGAAAGATTTCTTGGAGGAATTCTTGTAGGGAAAGACTTCTTGTAGGATTTCTTGTAGGGAAGGTGTTCTTGGAGGGAAAGATTTCTTGGAGGAGTTCTTGGAAGATTTCTTCTAGGGAGAGATTTCTTGGAGGAGTTGTTGTAGGGGAAGCCAGGAGCTCATACCAGAGCAGTTGATGTGGTTGGGAAGTGGAAAACAACACACTTGAGGAGGAATGAAGAGAAAATTGCGGTNAGGAATTCCAGGCAGGCCATGAACTGATCTTGGTGTGCCCCCACTCCAAACAAATCATCTTCTTTTACCAGCTCAGCTCCAGTTTGGGAATAGAAGCTGTCCCATGGATAATTCCTTTTTGTGGGGGAAGCTGGTTCAGGGAGACAGGGCAGGGGTTTGTGAGGGTCTCAGCTGGGACAGAGCTGTCCTGGCATCTGAGCAGGAACTGCAGAGGCCAGAGAAGGTGGATGGCAGGGAAAGATTCCTTGGAGGAGTTCTGGTAGGGGAGGATTTCTTGGAGGATTTCTTGTAGGGGAGGATTTCTTGTAGGAATTCTTGTAGGAAAAGATTTCTTGGAGGATCTTGGAAGATTTCTTCTAGGGAGAGATTTCTTAGAGGATTTCTTGGAGGAATTTTTGTAGGGGAAGATTTCTTGGAGGAGTTCTTGTAGGAAAATATTTCTTGGAGGAATTCTTGTAGAAAAGGATTTCTTGGAGGAATTCTTGGAAGATTTCTCCTAGGGCAAGATTTCTTGGAGGAATTCATGTAGGGAAAGATTTCTTGGAGGATTTCTTAGAGGAGTTCTTGTAGGGAAAGATGTCTTGGAGGATTTCTTGTAGGGAGAGATTTCTTGGAGGAATTTTTGTAGGGAAAGATCTCTTGGAGGAATTCTTGTAGGGAAAGATTTCTTGGAGGATTTCTTGTAGGGGAAGATTTCTTGGAGGAGTTCTTGGAGGAAAATATTTCTTGGAGAAATTCTTGTAGAAAAAGATTTCTTGGAGGAGTTCTTGGAAGATTTCTCCTAGGGAAAGATTTCTTGGAGGATTTCTTGTAGGGAAAGATCTCTTGGAGGAATTCTTATAGGAAAATATTTCTTGGAGGAGTTCTTGGAAGATTTCTTGTAGGGAGAGATTTCTTGGAGGAATTCTTGTAGGAAAATATTTCTTGGAGGAATTCTTGTAGGGAAAGATCTCTTGGAGGAATTCTTGTAGGGAAAGATTTCTTGGAAGATTTCTCCTAGGGAAAGATTTCTTGGAGGAATTCTTGTAGGGATGGTGTTCTTGGAGGGAAAGATTTCTTGGAGGAGTTCTTGGAAGATTTCTTCTAGGGAGAGATTTCTTGGAGGAGTTGTTGTAGGGGAAGCCAGGAGCTCATACCAGAGCAGTTGATGTGGTTGGGAAGTGGAAAACAACACACTTGAGGAGGAATGAAGAGAAAATTGCGGTTAAATGGAGGGTGAGTAACACAGAGAGGCAGAGATTTGGGCTAAGTGTGGTAGGCAGCCTGAATTTCTCCAGAAATCTCAAAACTGAGAATCTCTCAGCATGTTCTCTGCAATATCAGATCAGGGTATAAAAGGTATTTATTCAGATATTCTACACTCTGCTCCCCAAATCTTCCCAGTCGACACAATTATTAATAATTAAGCGTATTTATAGTAAAATGGGTTTGGTAGCAATTTTGGTAACGGCTCCTTTGGTTCATTTTGAGGCTCAAACATCCCTTTTATCCAATTTTGTCTTCCAGGCCCACCCAAAAGTGAGTGAAAAGCTAAAAACCCTGATGGTGGAGTGGTCAGAAGAGTTCCAGAAGGACCCACAGTGCAGTTTGATATCTGCAACCATCAGGTCCCTGAAGGAGGAGGGGGTCACCTTCCCTGCCCCAGGGTCCCAGGTGGGAGCTCCCAGGCCCATTGTCCTTCCCCAAATCCCCTTTTCCTCCTTGTCCCAGGAGTTCTCCTGCCTTTGGAGTCCTTTATTTTTCACTCCTGCTGCTTTGTTGTGCCCAATCTGACAGCAAGTGGTTTTCTCCTGACTTCAATTATTGATAATTCTAAATATTTCCATGTTATTCAGTCCTGAAAATTAAAATTACAATTTCTATTACAATTTCCTCACACAAAGTTTACGTCCCTCTGTATGAAGCACAGAGGTTTTTTAACTTTTACAAACACTGAGTTTTTTAATTTTTACAATCCCTCCTCCCTCCACAAAGATGTTTTCAGTTCTAAATGTGATCTATGTGTAAAACATATGGCAGGAACATGGGAGAGTTGAGCACTGGCACCCAATTCCAGTTCCTGGTGGGAATGAAAACTCCAGGAATGATTTCACTGTGCTGCTGGGGAGAATTGTAGGATTTCAGTCAGCAGCTCCCAACTGCAGCATCTTCTCTCTTGAAGGGAGGATAAAAGTGGGAAGAATCATTTAAGTGTGTGGTCTCACTGTAATAAATATGACTAAAATAATCATGTCAATAAAATCAGTTACATCAATTAAATCTCAGTATTTATTTTGCTTTTTTTGTTTTTTTTTCTGCTGAAAACAGAAACAAGCCTGAAGGGTGATGATTTTTATTTCTAGGATTCCATAATCCACCTGATCAGGAACAACTCGGTGCTAATTTTTAAAAATACATAATGATGGAGATGTCATTGTCATTTGTCCCTCTGTTGTCCCACCTTGGCAGGCTTCCACCAGTGCTGCTAAGAATGGCTCCTCAGCCAGTAAATCCAAAGAAGATGAGGATATAGCTAAAGGTGAGTTGCTGTCCCAGCCTTGGGTTGGACTCCAGAAGTTTGGTTAAAAAATGGGAAATTGGAATTTGGGCTCTTTCCTGCTGCACAGAATTGAAATCAATGCCACAGTGGGTTGGGAATTGTGGATTCCAGGTGTTTCCCTCCTCCATGGGATGTGGGGTAAGACACATTTCCTCCCCATCACACAGCATTTTACATGTTAACCTCCAACACTACAGCAGCAGATACACACCTTGTTTCAATAAAGCAATAAATCCTGTTTTTGTTAAATCAAACAATCACACTGCTCTGTCTGCAGGGGTAACCCCTCAAACCTGTTCTGTTCCTCTCTGCCCCACCTGCAGCCATTGAATTGTCCTTGCAAGAGCAGAAGCAGCAGCAGCTGGAGACCAAATCCCTGTACCCCCCTGCAGAGACGGCCCCAAACCCCCCGAGCCTGCGGAAGGTGCGAGCTCTGTATGACTTTGAAGCTGTCGAGGACAATGAGCTCACCTTTAAAAGTGGAGAAATTATTTTTGTTTTGGATGACAGGTACAATACACTCAGGTGGAGCTGACTTTGTTCCACCACTCTTGTTTCTCTCAGGGTAGCACATTTTTCCTCTGATGCTTTTTTCCCCCCTCACAGCAATGTCATTGTCACTCTGCCCTCCCTCACATCCCTTTCTCTTCCTTTTATCTTTGCAAATTCCTTGTTTCTGACCTCAAATAGGGAAAACCTCGAGTATTTCATCCAGTTTGTAGTTTGGAAGATAAATCTTAGTTGTTTGTCTGACATAAGAAAATACACTGGCATCACATTGCATCTGCTTCCAGCAGCTGTTAAACCTCTGGCTAGCAAGAATCAGATTTGCCAAGAATAAAACTGATTTAAAATAGCTAAAATAATGAATGTTGTTAACACCTCTAGGGATACATACAGCTTTAAAGGGCTGGCAAGTAATCAATATAAAGATTAGATGGATTGTGTTCAATTTTCAGTGATCCCCTGACTCCTCTTCCTCCCTTCCCTCCCCTGTTTGGCTTTGTGCTCATCCCTGCAAGTTCTCTTTTAGATATCTCAGGATTTTGGTCAAAACCCACCAAATGTGTCTGTGTAGCTCAGATTTTCAGTGAAAGCCCCACATGTGTCTCTGGCTGTGTTTTTAACCCTTTCTGTTTCCCCAGCGATGCCAACTGGTGGAAGGGGGAGAACCACAGGGGAGTGGGGCTGTTCCCTTCCAATTTCGTCACCTCTGACTTGTCTGTGGAGCCTGAGGCAGGTGAGTTCCCTGCTGAAATGATGGTGGATCCTTGCTGCTGCAATCCTAATTAGCCCAGCAGCAAAATAATCTCTGTCAGCCCCAGGAAAGAACTGAGAGACACCCTGCCCAGATATTCCATAACTCCCCTTAATTTCTGTCTCTGTTTCTCTTTGAAGTTATTACCATTTTCTGTGACAGAAATTTGGTTCGATTCACCAGAATTCCTTGTCAGCAGCATATTTACAAATCCAGCAAATTGCCATTTCAAATGTCACAGTGTCTTTTCACACAGAAAAATAACAAGGAGCAAATGTTTGTTTGAAGTTATGGCAGCAACAGAGAGAAAAGAAACTCATCTCTGTTCTTGCAGCAGCTGTGGATAAAATCTCTGTTCCTGAGGACCCTGCAGAAGAAATTAAGAAAGCAGAACCTGAGCCAGTTTATATCGATGAGGTATGAAGCCACTTTAAAATAAAATATTAAAGTGAATATTTTAATATTCCTTCAGTGCTGAATGTTGGCAGATGATTCTGTGTTTATAAAGAACTTTGATTTGAATATTAAACCAATCTTGGCATGGCTGGGAAATCAGAGTTCCTCATCTTGGCTTCCCTTTCAGGATAAGATGGATAAAACACTGCAGGTGCTTCAGAGCATAGATCCCACGGATTTAAAGCTTGATTCTCCAGATCTTCTCAACTCAGAAGGTACTTGCAGCACTAAATGAGCTCTTTTTTATGACTTCTCCTCACAATTACCTTTTGTGGATTGAGCTGGGAGTTCTTTGTGTTTATTTTAGGCTTAGGGGAGCTGTGCTCTGTACTAGCAGTGCTGGAGAACACTTATTTCACCGTGGGAGTGTGGGGCTCTGGGGATAATTTGAATTTTTTTAATAGTTCCAAGGCAGCTCCACGTTTAGCAGAGTCATTTGCATAACTCCCAGCTCTGTAAAATGCCTGAGCTTTGCCAGATCCATCTACCAGTCCCAACCCTGAAATAAATAAGAAAATAATTTTACAGTAGCTGGATAAAATATTTCTGGCTGCATTTAAACATTTAATTGTGCAAGACATCAACTGCCTCAACACTTTGTCTTCACAGATATCTGCCAACAGATGGGTCCAATGATAGATGAAAAACTAGAGGAGATAGATAGGTGAGCACAATTTATTCACTCATTTCCTTCAGATTGGGCAGGTTTAATGAGATTTCCTTGGTGCTTTCATCTCCTGAGCTAGAAAACCTTGCAAGAAAAATGTAACAACTTTATTTTTTAATGCTGAAATATCAAGTTCTGAGTGTGTGCACTGAGATTTGATTGCTGCTCTCCCAAAATTCCCTGCACAGCTCATGGATGCTTTTTACTTTGGGATTTTGTGTAGCCTTCTCCAGCCTGTCCAGAGGTTGGAATTTTCAGTTTGTTGGNTGCCCATTTATTGAGTGAATTCCATGAAATGCCCATTTATTGAATGAATTCCATGAAATGCCCATTTATGGAATGAATTCCATAAAATGCCCATTTACTGAATGAATTCCATGAAATTGCCATTTATTGAATCCTCTCCTTTTCTGGGGACATTTCCTTCTCATTGCTTCCCTTCCTGCCTGGCTGCAGCTTTGGGAATGGACGTGGGAAAAAGGGAATTTCTGCCAATGCAGCTGAGGACAGACAGACAGACAGACAGACAGACAGACTGCTCTGCCCAGCCCTGAGAGGTTCACTTTGGTGGTATTTTTGTTCAATGAGCTCAACTTTGGTGGCACTTTTGTTCAGCAGGTTCAAGTTTGGTGACATTTTATTTCATCAGGCTCAGGTTTGGTGACATTTTTGTTCCTTAAGGTCAGTTTTGGTGACACTTTTGTTCAGCAGGCTGAGCTTCAGTGACATTTTCTTCAATAGGCTCAGCTTTGGTGACATTTTTGATCAGCAGGTTCAAGGTTGGTGACATTTTATTTCATCAGGCTCAGATTTGGTGACATTTTTGTTCCATAGGCTCAGCTTTGGTGCCATTTTCTCCCAATAATCTCAGTTTTGGTGCCATTTTCACTCACTAAACTTAGCTTTGGTGACATTTTTGTTCATCAGGTTCAGGTTTGGTGACATTTTTGCTCAATGAGTTCAGGTTTGGAGACAGTTGTTTTAGCAGGCTCAGCTTTGGTGACATTTTTGTTCCTTAAGATCAGTTTTGGTGACATTATTGTTCAGCAGGCTCAGGTTTGGTGACACTTTTGTTCATCAGGCTGAGCTTTGGTGACATTTTTGCTCAATAAGTTCAGGTCTGTGGTGGCATTTTCATTCTGTGGGCTCAGCTTTGGTGACATTTTTGTGCAGTAGTTTCAGCTTTGGTGACATTTTGGTTCCATAGGCTCAGCTTTGGTGACACTTCTGTTCAGCAGGCTCAGGTTTGGAGCCATTTTTGCTCAGTAGTTTCAGGTTTGGTGACGTTTTCTTCCAATAGGCTCAGTTTTGGTGACATTTGTGTTCAATAAACTCAGATTTGGTGACTTTTTGTTCAGCAGGTTCAGCTTTGGTGCCATTTTCACTCAATCTGTTCTGGTGCCATTCTCACCCAATAATCTCAGTTTTGGTGCCATTCTCACCCAATAATCTCAGTTTTGGTGCCATTCTCACCCAATAATCTCAGTTTTGGTGCCATTTTCACCCAATAATCTCAGCTTTGGTGCCACTTTGGTTCAGTCCTGGTGCAGTTTGGGCCCATTCCTTGCCCAGCCCCTGTCGCTCCCATTTCCCCAGAATTTCTGCTCCTTTGCAGAGCCAGGGATTGCCTTAAAGCCATCATGAAGAGGATGAACCACAAAGTTCCCCACGTGGCTCTGCAGGCTCTCACAGTGAGTATTATTTTTTNGCCCAGCAGGAATTTCCCCATGCAAAGGGGGCTCAGGGACTGGAGCTGCCCAGGGAGGTTTGCAGTGCCCATCCCTGGGGGTGTCCCAGCAATTCTGGAGGTGGCACTCAGGGCTGGGGACAGGGTGGGCATGGGCACAGCTGGGACCCCATGGGCTTTTCCACCCAAAATAATTCCATAATTCTCAGGTGAACTCTTCCTGGTGTAGCCTGTGATCATCAAGCCTCCCTGTTGCCATGGGAAAGTTGGGATTATTTCTGCCCTGGCAGGAAAAGCTGAGTGATTTCCACTCAGGGAAATTTCAATGGATCCTTGGGAAGTACTTCAGGATACCCTTGGGAATCTTTTCACTCCTTAGGGATTGCATGTCCAGGGAATCTGCAGCTTCCAGAGGCTGTTTGCATTTGATTTTCCTTTTTTTTTAAAGTATTTAAAATTGCAGGCACTCTTTTATTTTCCACACCATCCATGAATTTGTTGTTCATGCCCTAAAATATTCATGCACTTAGAAAAAAATTTAGCAATTCCATAATTTTTGGGGTTAGTTCTGAAGGTTTGTGGTTTCAAAATAATATTCACTTCCTTGAAGTAAATATTCCAGTTTGTGAGGATTAATTATGGCCAAAATTCTAAATTTCCATGTTTTTTACCTCTGTAACAAAAGGAATTTGGGATATTGGAAAAAGATTTCCTTCTGCTGAGCAACCAAAATAAAATGGAGTTTAGTTGGTTAAAGCTTAATCTTGAAGCAGCAAATGCAATCAAATATTGAATTTGCTGTTTATTAACTTGGGATTTAAATAAGCTGGCTAATAAAAACTTAAAAGCACAAATAAATACCATTAACCCTCATTAATTAATCTATAGAGTGAACGGGACTAGATGAGCTTTAAGCTCCCTTCCAACCCAAATCATTCCATGAAATATTAATTAGGGATACATTTTATTTGAAGCAACAAATCACTTCATAAATCTCCTTTTCCTTTGCAGAAAAAGCCACAAATGAGTACAACACCAGCGAGGACTGGGGGCTCATCATGGACATCTGTGACAAGGTTGGGAGCACCCCCAATGGGTAAGCCACTGCTGCTGGAATATTTTTAATTCATTTTTGTGTCATTTTCTTCCTTTCTGCCCTTGAAAATAATGAAGATTTTTGCCTACCCTAAATAAAAATACAACTTAACATAACTGAGTTGACTTTGCTGAATGGTTTGTACATGAAATAAAACGAAAATATTAGAACTAAAAGTGTGTTTTTCTGGCACAGAGGCTTTTCAGTGCTTTGCTAACAGTATCTGGCAGTGATACTATTTTTTAAATGCTGCATCAGCTTTTCTTTTTTAGGATTTCATGTTTTAAATGTTCCAAATGTGAGTGTTAATGAAGGCTTTGATGTGCCAGCCATTAATGCTCATTTCAATTGCAAACCCCTCAGCAGAAGCATTTAAAAAGCTCTTTATTATTCTTTATTATTCTTTATTATTCTTTATTATTCTTTATTATTCTTTATTATTCTTTATTATTCTTTATTATTCTTTATTATTCTTTATCATTCTCCTCTCACCTCAGGTTTTGCTGAAAGCAATTTTGGCACCCTTTGTGTGCTCAGGCTGAGGANCGGATCGTCCTCGCCTCGGGCTCCCGGCGCTGTCGGACCCGCTGGGCATCTCCTCGTTATTCCCCGGGACACCGGGAGATGCTCTTGGCGTAGGGAATGGGAGCTGAGGTTTTAGTGATCTCCTGACTTGAGGATTTCTGGAAGGGAAATGGTTTTAAGTGTGTCAAGAGCATCGGTATGTGAGGTTGGGCTGCTCGGAGCTGGTTGCACAGCAGCCCCGTGCACTGCAGGAGCACTGGTAGCCATCAGCGTGGAACCTCATGCTAACATTCCCCTTTTCCTTCTCTGCCTCCCTTTTCCATCCCTGCTCCCCTTTTCCATCCCCGCTCCCAGTCTCCCACTCTGCCTGCCAGCTGTCCCTGCTCAGACACAGACTGGCATCCCGAGTCCCCCAGAGCATCACTCTCTGCTCAAACCCCTGTTTGCAGTAAATATTACCAATTTCATTCCCAAGTCCAGCGTGTGCAGCACTCCCCAGAGCATGACCCTGCATCCCAGGGACTCCAGAGGGACTGAAGGAGGCTCAGGGGAAGCAGAGCCGGGCCCTTGGTGGATCAGGGACACTCGGCACGCGTGGCAGCGTGCTGTGCTCAGGCCGTGGAGGTTGCTCTGTCACAGAGGGGGATTTCAATAACCCAGGGAGGTTTCACTGCCTGCTGGCACCTCCTGGTCACGGCCCCGGCCCGGAGCAGCCGTTTGGGGCTGGCAGGCCCAGTTCCCAGAGTGACATGTGAGAGTGTCGGGATGAGTGTGACGTTCAGGGTGATCTGAGCCGTGCAGACTGGAGTTGAAGCAAGGATAAACGAGCAGAAAGGCAGTTTTGGGTTATGCTGGAGGGTTGAGGAGATGCTGCCGTGGGTGCTCCTGGGAGATGTCCTGGAGCAGCTCTCAGCCTGCAGGGGAGCTGCTTCCAGAGGTGCGTTTGTGCTGCCTGGGAATTCGGGGCTGGGGGTTTGGGCACAGGGTCCTTGGCATCACCCGGTGTCCAAGGCAGCAGGAATGACCTGGAATTTTGGAAGCCAGGCCTTTGTCTGGTTTTGGGGGACTCACTTCCCTCCTGACCCCTCTGGGGGTCATTCCCCCATCCACACTGGATGGGCCCTTCCAGTTAAGAGCAGGAAAATCAGGTGATGGGATGTTTTCCCTGTCCTTTACCCTCCCACAGGGAAGTTCTCCCTCATAACAATCAGGCTCTGCAAGCACAAGTGGAACAGAAAGTGCCACCAGCAGGGATCAGCTTCAGGCAGCGCTGTGGTGCTTGTGGGTCTGATTTAAAAACAAATGGGAATTCTGTCAGTGGGATCTGTAATCAGTGTCCCAAAGGAGTTTAAATCTTTTGTACATCTTGTATACATGAAAAACTGAGCACCAGCTTCTTCCCAAGCCCTCAGTACCTATGGAAATGACATCCTTGGTTTCCTTCTGTGCCAGGAGAGAAGCAGCTCCCTGGGATTTGAACTCATTACTCGACTTTTCATTATGTTGCATTTAATTTCTGGTTTCGATCCGTTGCTCAATCTAATTTAGGAAGGGAATAACGTTTGGAGGAGCTTTTGGATTTGCATTTTTTTTGTTCACACCGTGTGCTGGGAAGCAGGGAGGGTCTGTGGGCTGTGTGTGTGTCCACAAGGACAGAGCTCCCAGCTGCAGGCTGGCAGTGCCCTCTCTGCTGGGGGAGATGCTGCTCTGGAGGGCACAGGGGGACTCCTGTGCTGCCAGGAACAGCCAGGGGGGTGCTGGGAATCCGTGGGATGATGTTTGAACACCCCCAAAGGCAGTGGGGTCCCTGCTGTCCTGGTGTGACTCCTGATGCAGATTCCCAGCTGCTGGGATGGGCCCCAGATCCGGGCACAGCCAAGGCTGGCAGCAGAGCTGGCACTGAAGGGGTCAAGTGTGGCCTTTGGGCAAGGAATGGGTGCACAGAACTGTTCCTCTGACGTGGCAGGTGCTGCTCAATTAGAGCCAAGAACCCCTTAAGGGACAGGAGTCAATTATTAGACACTAATTAGGGCAGCTGGAAACATGTGCTTGTGATTCCACACAACGCTGGCATCAGAACTCCTCCTTGTGTTTTCTGGGCGTTTGTGACACAGGGTTTGGTGTTTTCCCTTGGAATTCTGGCAGGATCAATTTATTCCCTGAGATTTCTGATGAGATTTATTTCACTGACAAAAGCTGTGACCTGTGCAGGACAGCAGCAAGAGGTTGTGTCAGAGCATCCAGCACTTCTTGGGATGCTGGGGTGGAAGTTCAGCTTCCCTTTCTCCTCATTTTTCTCCTTCACCTCCTCTCCAAATGTCTCCCAGAGGAATATTTACACATTTTGCTTTTTATTGGGCCAACGGTAGCCCTGATGCTGGTGAGATTGAGACACCTCCTCAGGCAGGGTCTCCCTTTGGAATGTTCTCCCTCACACCTCAGGCTCAGGAGGGGCTGAGGGAGCCGGGC